TTCCAGCAGTTTGTCTGTCAAGTCGGTGAAGTGTACTTCACAATGTTTCATACAACTAAAACTGTTGAGGCTAGCCCGAGTCGGCTTTACTCTAAGAGTTATCGTCAACATTGCCATGTAAAGACAGGTAAGCTCTGTTACTGCCAAATCTTTGGCGAACTGTACTCGAAAAGTTTTCGATTCTTTATACATGTATTTGTCAGATAAAATCGCCAGCAAACAATTCGCAAGTATGACGTCATGTTGCTTAGCAACTTCGGCCACAAAATACCGCGGGCTTACTCGTTCCTCGATATCACCTGGGGCCCGTTTCTCGAAGGTCCCGAAAAAGTTTTCGCACCCGGAAAGCCATAACAAAATCTCGACGCTTATGAATGCAGAGCTGTTTTATTCACGTATTCTTAATATGAACAGAGGTTCTTTTCACACAAGAAGTTTCAGGCGTATACACCTCTTCGTTTTTAGGTACAGATGAACTAAAAATGGCTTTCCGGGCCCGAAAAGTTTCCGGGCCTTTCGAGAAACGGGCTCCTGGCCTGAAAATTGTTCCAACGATCACTTGTGCTTCATATTTCCTTTGGTACATTATTCCTAACCGGGAATAACAACGAAAACAAGATTATCGTTCTTTATTTTCTGAAACGACCGCTAACTTTGTAATAATCAACAAGGACATTTGTCTTCTCTTTCCCTAAAGAACTAAACTGATTTCATAGTTGTGAAGTATCACTAGTTCAAAGCTGTTTCAGGCTAAGTGCTTACATTTTCTAAAATATGTTACCAACAAGAGAGCAAAAAGAGTGAGAGAGTCCCTATTCCTAAGCTTATCACCCTTAAGTTATTTTTAGACGTGATCACTCCAAGCTTCAGGCCCATACTAACGCGTTTTTAAAAGTATCCGTTTTCGTCTCAACGAAAACGAAGTAAAATATTTTCGCCCACACTATCGTTTTCGGTTTGTTTTCAACTGTCCACATTGATGCGTTTTCGTATGAAAACGCATACTTTTTGACACGTTAAATTCGCCCATCGTCCACACTGAAACGTCCGAAAACGCCGATGGAAACGACAGTATATAACGCTTTTTTCGGCACCGTTTTCAAAAGCTTCCGTTCTCACCGATCAACACTAGAAACGAAGCGTTTTCAAAACGATGCGTTTTCGAATGGCTCCACCTTTGATACCGTTTTCAAAAGCCTTCGTTTTCATCAGCGTTTTCGGGCGTTTTACGCGATGTGCATGATAGGCGAAATGAGCGGACAAAAAAGAAGAGGCTTGAAGAGCACCAGAGGTTTGAGGGCCAGAGGCTTGAGGTCGGGGCCTCCAAGGTCCTAGGAAGGCCTAGAAATAACCAGTCCTGTTTCGCGAATTTCAAACACGCGGAAAATCCACACACGTTTGCACGCTTTTTCATTCTCCACGAACACACACGCAACGCGCACGTGTTAAATTTATCCACGGGAGGACTGGTTACCATATCTAAAAATAACTGGAGATGGATTACTTGGGGAATGAGGCCTGTATGGGAGATCAGCTCTCTCGCATTTTATCCTCTCTTGGTCATCCAGATA